TTTTATTTTGAAGAATTCAATGCCTTTTCAGACTTTTTAAGGACCCGCGGGAACCCCGTTGGATGTAAAATAATTGCCATTATGGCTTTGTCAAGCTGCTGCCTACCTTTGTGAGGCAGGAAAAAAGACTAATGCAAAGTGAATCCAGTAGAACTTTTTATTGCCTCCCTGGAATGGGTGACAATAGTTGAATAAACTTTTCGCTCTCAAAATGCTATATTGGTACTCGCTGATAACGATACCACCATTTTAGTGTTGGATCCGGACCGTGCCCGATACTGGTATCGGTGCAACACTAATAATAAATCAGGCTTTGTATTTATAATAATTTTAGTGTATACGAGCCATTAGTGTACTATATTGATACCCAAGGCAGCCGTATTGGATTTCCTACAATTTTTTTATGAAACACAGTCCAGCTTCAGGCAGTCGGCGTTCAAGATTTAATTTGAAACTTGTCAGTCAGCAATGCTGGTTTTCATGAACAACTTAACTCCCTAATACTGTAAACCGCACTTTGGAAAATATGTTCAAAACACTGTCAAAAAAGTTTGCAACCAGAATTCAATAACAATTCAATGTTTTATAAAATCTAAACTCCAGAGTCAAAGATACAGGTATTAGTTCATTCATTATAGATAATTCTACACAAGTCTGGTTTTAAATGAAGAACCTATTAATAACAGACAGGAAGATGGAGACAAGGAAGGGATGCTGAACAGAGTTGAAGGACAAACTAATGGATGGCTTAGATGACTGATCAAGGATGGACAGTGACTCATATACAAGTACTTTAAAAGACAAAATAGAATATGGTGTGGAAGTGCGATATTTCTTCACTTTCAGAAATGGTTATTTTACAGTAAATCAGCTTCTTCAGCAATTACCTTTATTGGCTCACACTCCTTGTAAAGGGTGTTGACGGCCATCTTCTGCATATTTGTGAAGTTAGTCTGTGAAGATTCTCAGTCATCCAGCTCATGGTCCAGATTGAAAAAGTTCAGTCGAGGCAACTTGACAGTTTTATATAAGTCATTTCACCTCTCATCAAAGAGCCGTCTTCAATTGGATGAGAGGCGAAACATCTTTTATAATAAATAAAAAAAAATTCAGGTCCAGTTGCCAGGACTGAACTTTTTCAAGCCTTAAGTCTTAAGATGTTTTCCCGATCACCGTGTAGCCTACTGACCCGGAGCTAGAAACCTTTTAAAGGCTCAGGAAACTATTTTTCTCTCTCATTGAACTTAAGGTTTTTATCACCTGGTGAACCACACTCATCAACATAATATGAAACAATGGCCTGGAAAATATAATTTGATGTGTTTCTATCCAAGTTTTACCTTTTTGAGATGACTAGCAAAAAATGCCACATTTAGGA